TTGTAAAAACCTTGGATTTGACACGTTTTTTGGCTTGTCACAACCTTGTCACAACCTTCTCACAATGTACAATGAATTTAATAGAATAACTATAATCTTAAAGACTATCAACACATTATTATTATTGACATCTTAATCCCATATAGTTTCAAATGATTTCTAGATACTTGTAATGTATCTATGATACATGTAGCTAATGTATAAAAATGTGGATGTGTATTAGTGTTATCTTTATTGACTTGTATAAATGCTGGTCAATGGTCCCTTTATATATGGTAGCAATAGCTTCATATCATCGTGGGGCACACTTAATGAAACCCCAGTTTCCTGTCAACCTTCAGACAACCTTGTCACAAGGTTGTTATTTTTCTTACATGTTAGTCACAACTTTATCACTTTCCTACAAGGTTGTCACTAGGTTGCTCACAACTTTATCACTTTTATACAAGGTTGTTACTAGGTGGCTACAACTTTGCAAGGTTGTGACCCAGTTGTAACAACCTTGGAATTTCTATATGGGAATTCCTTTCTGCAAGTATATGGATGGCGACAAGCACTTTAATATGACATGAGGTGTTCCTACAGTGGAACCAGTGAGGTTTACAGATAAAGAATAAGCTCTTGCATCCCTAAACTATCTATAAAAGACCAATCCTGTAGTTTTAAGAAGAGAAAAGATGGTCATAATCATCCACACTTGAGCTGCAACATGACAACTGAGTGAGTTATTCCACTGTACCTTGTCCTGATGGACTGAGACTAAGTCTGATAATAGACACTAGTCATAGGACTCAGCTGAATACACTTCTGTCTTCATAGCAATGGAGGGGCAAGCGCCCTGGCTCCTTAAAGCCAAATTTAGAAAAACGGCAATTGCCCGTGGGTGAGAATATTCCTATGATAAAATGCTATAAAAGCCAAAACAGCAACCAAAGAGCTTACAGAATAGATAAACAGAGTACACTAAAACAAAAAGACAGCTCAAAGTGGTTCTCAAAGCAAGAGTGGCTGGATAAAAGAGAAGATTGTTCAGCCTGTCCCTCCTATAAAAATCCGCCATTTTACCACCAACTCAGGTGCGCATTAATTAGAAAAATTTCATTGAATAAGGTGCATTCCTTTGTCGTCAATATTGTTTGTGTAATAATTAACAAGTACAACATTGGCAATGGAACATTATTTTGAACAAATTATAGAAATGTTATAAAAAATTAACACAAACAAGAACAAAAAAATTAAAAAGAAACAAGATGGAGTAGGATTCTTGTAGAACAAGTTTGTAAAAAAGTAATGGAAACAAGGACAAGTGGGATTCTAAATGACTGACTATCCATGCGAACAAAAATCCAAAACGAAAGTCGTAATCTTGTGAAGCAAATTCTACTCTACATGGCAAGGTAATCTGTAATTACTCACATAATAATATTGAAAATGCAATGTAGAGTAGAATTTGTGTCACGAGAGTAGGATTTTCATTTTGGATTTTGGTTGTTTAGAATCCTACTTGTCCTTGTTTCCATTACTTTTTTTACAATTTGGCTCTAAAAGAATTCTACTTCATTTTGTTTTTTTTCAAAAATTTTTATGTTCTTGTTGGCTAGGGCATTGGCATGAAATTGGCTGTATCTGTAAATATGAAAAAAAGCCATATTGGTACATCGCTACCTAAAAGTACAAGCTTGGTTCATTTGGGCTAACATATACAGTCAAACCTCCGATAGCGGACAGTCCGAGAAGCGGACACACTCTCTAGAGCGGACAAACCTGCAGTCACCGATGAAAATATCCCATCGTACTGTACATTAGCAACCTCCCAGAAGCGACCACTTCTAAACTCCGGACAGCGGACAGTTTTACAAGCACAAAGAAGCTTCTAAACATGTGATTTTGCCTCTGTAAACGGACATTTCCGGAAATATAGAAAGCCACACCCTCAATATTAAAGTTAATAGTAATCATTAAATTAATTAATAGTAATCATTAAATTAATAAGAACACTCAGAACAGTTATTATAGTATAATAATGATGCTAGGCCTAGTATTTATAGATTATACAGTAGCTATAGCTTAATGCTTGACCTAAACCTGATCTCTGAAACAGGGGGAGGTCACAACACAACCTCTGAGAAGAGGACAACCTCTGAATAAAGGACAATAGCTGACTTCCCAAAGTGTCCGCTCTTCGGAGGTTTCACTGTACATTGTTTTAGACCAAGACAGTTTACTAATTTAACCTTGCAATACTTTGCAAACTTTGTGCTTTTGTTTTGTTGTGGGAAAAATTTCTACAAGACTGCACCTTTATAGCCATGCATGGTTTGCTGGTTATTTTTAAAACTTTTAGCAATGCACATTTGCAAAATGTTTCACTGTAGAGAATTAGGATGATTCAATTGCTAAAAGAGAATCAGCTGGCTTAGTACTTACCAATGCAAAGTGTGACATTCTAATTATGACCATGTTTTTCACTTTAGGCAGATTTACTTGTAAGTGAGCTTTTGGGATCCTTTGGTGACAATGAGTTGTCTCCTGAATGTCTTGATGGAGCACAAAGATTTTTAAAAGGTATGATTTATATAATGCTTTGTATCATTGTAATATTTGTATAGTTTATTTCAAAATAAGTTGTAGATAGTTACCCTTATGGCAATATCTGTTATCATTGTTCCATTTCTAAGGCATAGTGGTAAAAGATTATTGCTGGGTAATCGGTATATAAAATTAATATTTGTTTTGCATGACTATCCTGAATTGACTTTTGTTGCTTTATTGCTACATTATTAGCGTACCATAATTTCTCTAAAAATTCGGCACTCTAATTTCGAAAATAAATAATTATTGGGAGAAATAGTACCTAAAGTAGTCTACACTTAGTCATCATTAAAACTGTCCTTACCACATGTTCTGATTTTGTCAGGATTCTTTTTATTTATCTTAAAGGGTAAGTTCTGTGAATTTTGGGGGTATTTTTTATTGGCTTAATGTGTTTGCATGATCATAATAATGATGTGTTCCAACTCCCATTATTCAAAAAAAAATTACTCACTGAGATAAGAGCCTTCAAAAATACTCATTTTTGCTTCCTTCAATATTACTTCCTGTCGGTGGGTGTGGCTAAACCTGACGTCATAAGAGGAATAGATGTAGATAACTCCATTCCTTTATAGGGGGAAATGATCCTTTATTGGCATGCCTTGTAATGTAATAGCAGTAATTTAAAGGGTAACTCAACCCAAAAACTTTTTTTGCAGAAATAAGTTGGTAATAAAGAAAAAATCATAGGAAAAATAAGTAAAATTATCAAAAAGTACTGTTTCCATACTAAATCTTGGGTCAAAAGTTGCAATTTCTTGCCTTGCAGCCATTTTGCCAAAATAACTTCCGGTTGTGGGCGTGGTCACGCGATGACATACATGGGGGAACATTAGCAAGTTTCTGCATTGAAATATTAGCAACTTCAAGGCTGGATATCTCAGCTATGCGTGCAAGAAAGCAGCTGAGAGGTATTTTTCAAGTATTAAGAGCTAAACAGAGCTAGTATATACAGTCAAAATTTAAATTTGTCAAATTAATTT